AGTCTATCTGTTTCACCCACTCTTCCGCCTCCTTCGGTGATGACGCACAAAACTGTCATGAAAGGGGGAAGAGAAATGAATGTGAATGTGCAATAAGCTCTACATATATTAATTAACATAAGCAAATAATATTGCATTTATGCATAGTAAAATGTTCCACATGGAAGAGTCTGAATGTTAGAAACACTCATTTAGCCTCATTCAGTACGTGTCAGGCTGAGCTACTGCAAAGGCAGTAGTGTCAAATGGAAAAGCATTAAAATAAAGATTTACTGAAGTGCATGGATAGACACACTGTGCCAAGTTTTAAACATGTCACGTCTCAAGTTTGTATTTGGTTTTGGTTATTTCAGTTTAACAGCATTTTAAAAAAGGCAACGACTGAAAGAAACTCGCGCAGCCATCGAGAGATGAGCGTACCTGATAGACGCGCTTGTCTGGGGCCAAAATTTCAAAGCAGCAGTCTTTCTTCGAGTCCTTGCGCAAGGTGTTGTTCATTTTGACACCGTACCCATCGATACTGAACTCACCCTTCTGCTGCTTGTCTGGTTTAGAAAATTAAATCATCATCATTATTGGTACAGATGCAATAACTGCATCATTACTGTTAAAAAGAAAAAAAGGGGGGGGGGGAATTATTCACCCACTTAAAAATGAAGAAAGTACCTTTCTCATTGCCGTAATAGTAGAAGGTGTGATGGCTCAGAGCACACCATCTCTTCTGCCACTCAGTACCAAAAAAGCTGTGATCTGTGAAGGGAGAGAACCACATGCACAGAGAATTTTCCAGTGTGTTTTGATGGCTGTAAGCGTTGATTTTTATATATAGAAGGGACAAAAATACCTGAACTGTAAAGAAAATGTGTATTAGATTACAGTCTTTATTTAGGGTATTGTGTGCAACACAGTAGAGTCAACTAACTTTTTGCAGATTTTTGGTGTTTTGCATTATGTAAGATTCTTTGTAAAGGTTAAAAAACAAAAAGGCCTTCTTTTTGTTCACATCTGATAAAAAGCCAATTTAAAAAACACTGGCCCAAGGATATTTGAGAGCTTGCATATTTCAGTAACCAGGCAGCCTCCTTTTCCTTTACAATTTTTCCCCCTTGGGAAAGCTGCCTTGTACATATCTTATAATCAGAGCACCAACCCTTTCTGCGCTTCTCAAGATATCCTGCTTTAAAGACAGATGGCAGGTCCTGGGCCGCCACAGGTGGGGACTGCTGGGAACCTGGAAAAAGAATTAAGGAAATCCAAATATGTGACCCGTCATCATTGCTGCTGAATCCTTAATAACTGACTGTTGTTTTTTGTGTCGGGGGTCTTAAAGTTAAACATGACCAGAAGGTTTATGAGCTACTTTGCTATCATGCATTTGTTTAACCGATATTAAATTGAATAGCAAAGCCACTCTGAGTAATATTTTACTCTCACTGGAGAAGGTTTCCCTTGCCCTGTCTAACTTCAAATATTCAAATGCCGTGTCAAAGTTGCATTGTGTGAAAGAGCAGCCATAAAACTGGCAGCTGCTTATAGGCCATAAACCCCAGTCCCCCAATCACCATTTCATAAGGATTTCCCTGATACTCTGTGGTGGGAAAAAAGGGGGGGCAAAAACAAAACTGCAAATGCAAAAATCTGTCACAGTTTGGATAATGGAATAAACAGGATTAAAGCTAGTGTTTATCGGGGAATGTTTTTGTGTCATAACCTGCAGCCACAGCAGTAATTTTAAGCCCCTAGACTGTGGCTGAGAGAGCAATAAAGTGTGCTTTAGCCATCAAAGGGGAGGGGTGAGGGAGGTGGTAGGAGTAGCAGTTGTGCACCCAAATTGCTTCCCAAGTATGTTGCCAAGTTACAGTTGGAATGTCTCACTCATTGTGCCACTCAAAGTCGCTTTCTCCAAGGAGCCAGAGCAAAGATCTGTATACTTTCCTGCCAACACTGAGCTTTCGGTGCTCTAATCCGCAGCTTGCGAGCAGTTAGCGAGTCAACTCTGTTTGTCTGCTAAGTGTTTGTGGCTCACCTTCGAAAGCATCATCATCCTTGTCCGTGCGCTCTGACTGCAGCGACCCCCCGTCGTTGTTGCTGTCAACTTCCTCCTCGTCATCAGAGTCATTTCCACCTACTGCAGTAAACACAGAGGGCTGTGAAGTAACTGCACACAGTGTAACACAGAAGTTGCCATTGTGTGGTGTTAGAGGTGTTATGTGGCCAGTTTATTATGAAATGCGACTCTTTTTGCCCTTGCTTTTTCAAATTTGTGGGATAAGTTTGTAATCGACTTGTGGGCCTTCACATTAATGTCATGACATCTTGTGGTCAGTCATGACCCCCCCATTGGGTACCAGTTTTAAAAACACACCTACAGGATTATTCAGCAGACAGGCAACTTACCTTTGTCCTTAAACTCTTGTGGAAAACTGTTTGGGAGAAAAAGACAGCAAATAAAGTTAATCACAACAACTTATGCACCTGCAAAGCAAATCAAAACTGGAGTATTTTGATGTATGCTGGTTCCAGTCATGAGTCATACCCTTGCTTGACCTCCTTTATCCTCTTGATGAAGGCTTCCCTCTTCTCTTTCGCCTTCTTGCTTAGATTTTCTGCCTTCAACCCATCAATGAGGTAGTTTTCGAGATCTGAACAGCACAAGAGGTAAAACATTAACATGTTCTGATGGCTGATAGCAGTCAAGTGGCCACACCACTGATGGACATCCACAACATAAACAAAGGAGCAGTTTGCAGCTTTGACGTCCAGCTCATGCCTCAGGTTTGAGACATGAAGCGAGTTGTTTTTTTTTTTTGTTTTGTTTTTTAATGAAATGCCAGCACAACTGTCGATTTGAGTGAATATAGCAGAAAAAAGGGGGAAAACTATGCTTCCTCTTTTTAAAAAGAAAAGCAGTTTGTTATATACGAGACTTAAAGTAAAACAAGTCTTTATAAAATGCGGAAATAAACTCTCCTCTACTCCAAAGGCAACTATGAATCAACAGTTTTACCTGAAATGAGCGTCGTTAACTCCTCGGGGATCGCACGCATTCTTACCGCAGTTTCTAGCCTGAAGCGATTGAGCGTCCAGCCTGAGGAAGGGAAACTCTAGCCTGCGCGACACGGAAGCAGCAGCTCGGGCTCGAAGATATACGGAAGTTAATCTGCTAATTATTTATCAGTGACCACACAGTTCCGCTGCAGGACAAACACTCAGAGCCGCCTGCTCGGTGTTCGGCGTTCACAGACGTTGACGTTTATTGGCCTTTATTTATTTTTTGACTGCCACCGTAGACAGGAAATTGATGCTTTAATGGAGCAACGGGTCTTTACGGAATAATAAAGTCCGAGCATAACGCCGCGATCATACTGTTGATTGATTCCAGATCATATTTTTTGGCACTTAAGTCTGCTCTCTACGGCTGACTCGCTGAACACATTAGGGGCGTCTTTTGTTTTACAGCGATGCAAGCTTTGAGTCTATGAATATGTCAGGGCTGTAATCCAAAACAGGGATCATTAATAGATTAAAAAGTCAATCATATAATGCTGAATGCTTCTGTGCCAGCTTCCTCAGATGTTTCGCGGGAGTCTGGGCTACTTCTGCTGCACTGCTTTGTACTCTGACTATATATTTGACATTTTAAAAAGGAAGAAGAAACAACAAATATGCAGGTTATTTTAAAAGAAAACGATAGAACCAGGAAAGAATGACTTCTTACATCAAGTTAAGTCAGCGCCTCTGGTGCATTTACGGAAAATGGCCTTTTCTTTTTGTTTTGTCACATTGTTTATAAAGATGTCAGTCATTTATTCGTCTTTTTTGACAGGCGGTATCACCCAATCTGGGTTAAAAGACTGAGCCTTTGAACTGTATACTCTGTTGTTTTGGAGGAAGGAGACAGAAGTGTCGAGGCGTTTGTGGCACAGCTTTAGTCTCAGGTGTTGGCTTGGCTGCAGGTAGCTGTGCTGCCACAGCCAGTCAGACTCTGCAAACAGATCATATGATCATTAAACAAGGATTTTTGTTCAGAATCACGATTGAATTTCTCAGTATTAGAGTTGTTACAAATCATAACGCAAAATTAAACCTTTTCCACGTTTTCTGACGTCACTTCCTGTTTCTCTTCATCCGAGCAGCCAGCACGTTGTTTATGAGCCTCTAATGCTCTGCGGCCATTCAAAACCTGACCCCCTCCTGACCTGCCGGTAGTTCCTCCCAGCTTTAGAGGAGAGCCGCTTTGACCTCTGACCTCTATGTGCCTCTGTGTGCCAGCGCATGTGTGCGAGCAAGGGGAGGGCTCTTACAGGCAAAGCCATGTATCTAGTTTCCATAAAGCTCTATCTTACTTGCCTGTCGTCTCAAAAACAGCCCAACGCCTTTGGTTCCTTCCCCTTTTATCACACTCATTACAGGGGTCGCAATCCACCGAGTGCACACTGCACTCTAGCTGTTTAACATGCAAAACACGGATTAATTCATAGTTTAGTTTATCGTTTTTGTATAATAAGATACTTTATTTGGTGAGTGTAAAATAAAAGGTGGGAGATGATCATGTGGACCATTGTTGTGCTTTTAGAGAAGGAGGTGTTGCTTGGTTAACACTGGATCTACAGTTATGAGTCCACGTCCGACTGCTTCTGGGCCTACTGGGTTTAATATTAGGCTTTCACGATTTTGTCCTTGTTCTCAAAACATGCAGAATCAGCATCACTTTGAACCATTTTCAGGAGGACGAGCAGTTCACCGCCTCACCTCACATTCGTTTTTATTAATGCTATGAGGCGCTTGGCGTGCGGTCGAAAACGCAGAGTGTGTGTGTGTGTGTGTGTGTGTGTGTGTGTGTGTGTGTGTGTGTGTGTGTGTGTGTGTGTGTGTGTGTGTGTGTGTGTTGCTGCAAGCACACTGAGCATATAAATGAATATCTGCCGCCTGGGGACTGTTTTCAGAATTATTAATCACTGTGGTGGTTAATTTTATATAGCACCGAAGAATGACTTTGGTTTTTCACCAAACATTTTTTTTTAAATTCTAAACAGTAAATAATGTATATGAAAAATGGGAGTTGGATGGAGGGGGGGCCTTTGTGGAAAAAGCGTCTTTAAGTCGAGCAGAGGATCAACTGGTCGGTGTGAGAAATTCCTTTAGCATTAAACGGGGTCGAACTGCCTTTGATCCAGACCAACATAAATTTACCTCAATTTCATGATGATTTACTAAAAAAATAATAATAAACGGTTCATATACATAAATACCTTCAGCCGTTTGACTGATATGTGACCATTGTTCGCAGTCTAATCCGTTTTATAGTTACATCATCCAATTAATTTATAGGCTCAGTTACATAAATTTATATATCAATTTGGAAAAAATGCCTTACGTCTGCTGCTTTGAATGAGTCCTACTTAATTTTACATCATAAAAAGTTTTGAAAACCACAATGGGGCAAGGCGCACGTCTTAATTCAAAGAGATTGTATTACATTGCGGCTCGGGCTATAAACAAGCACCCTCAGTCCTGTGAGTTTTATAGGCAATAAAACGTAATTAGAAAGCCAGGAAAAGTCATAGCTTTTGGCCTGGGACTCCTAGCAGGCAATTCACACAGCAAATTTTCTTTTTCTGCGTTTAAGTATGGAGAGGCAATGAATCTCTCGCAGTGCTCCTTTTTGTGTGTGTCTTTTTGTGGACTATATGCTACCAGACCCACGGCCACGCTGGAGAAATTCTCTCAGCACAATCTATAAACATAAAAATGTAATACAGCAACAAAAATTACACATTTATACAGCTTCTATTTTAATTTTAGTTTATATGTGTTCAGTGCATTCACAGGCTAATTAATTTAATGGTAAAATAATCCTTTTATATTAACAGCTTATATTGTTTTTTCTCATTTTTGAGAATTCATTTCATTTTATGGCTGATGCTCTTAATAATTTTCATTTATTGAGGTAAAATCAATAAGCTCTCTAGAGTTGCTTATTGTGGGCTTAAAGTGAGAAAAAAAACCCAAAACGCATCTGAGTCCAATCAATGTAAAATTTTATTTCAATAAAAATATTGTGTTCAATTATAGTCCAAATCCATATAAAAATAAATGTGCACTGTGTCTTCTACCAGCCTACTTTAACAGTCCATACAGGCAACAAAAAAAAGAAAAAAAGCTTTGCTTATTTCGCTTTAACTTACCTCATCTATTAAAAATTTCCACCCTGACGCCCTAAACTAGAGCACAACCGTCTGAGTTACAAATACCAAAGTCGAAACATGTCAATAACTCAGGTTTTGCAGGTCGATTGTTGTGAGTGTTTCTGAGAAGAGGTCGAAAGTCTCGCAGGGTAAAGGCAGGGGACTTTGAGCTGATTCTGACAAACTCGATGAGAAAGAGGGCGAGGATGAGAAAACTTGGAAATCCCGAAATGAGGCGTCCAGGTCCGGGGAATCGTCATTGTTCGGGCCTATTGTGGACACGCAGATGGGCACAATGGCTGACGGGTTTGGAAAATGTTTCAGATTTTTCTCATTGCTGGTCAGAGGGGTAACAGTTGGGCTTTGGCTCTCTCCATTGTGTGCGTTCTGACAGTCTTGTGAAGTCAACGTATTCTGGTGGAAATACCTCTCCCTCTCAAAGAGCGTCCCGGTGGCGCTGCCCTCTGTAGCCTGCTCCAACTCGTCCTCCGGCCCGTCGTCCAGGCAGGCGTATTTCCCCTCGCTGTCCCTGTTTTCCTTGCTGTGAGTCTGCCTCTTGTGCTTCATCCGCCTGTTCTGAAACCACACTTTCACCTGCTTCTCCGTTAAATCCAGCAAAGCAGCTATTTCCACTCGCCTCGGTCTGCACAGGTATTTGTTAAAATGAAACTCCTTCTCCAGCTCCAGAAGTTGGGTGTTGGTGTACGCAGTCCTCAGCCTCCTTGATGGCCCTCCATCGCCAGCACCACTCTCTGGTGTATCAGGTGAACCTAAAAGAAATAAACAATTTAAATAGAAGGTGAAAAAATTAATAGAAAATCCACTGCAAATATAATAATTTAAAACATTCGTAACAGGGGTGTGTTTGGAGGGGAGAAAAAGCGCTATGGGGTGAAACTTGTGGCAAGCAAACACCAGGACTGGGAAGATTTATGGGCCCCAGGCAGAATATGATGGGTCTGCGTGGACAAGACAGGACGGAGGGTGAAGATTAATGAACATGCCAGCTGCTGGCCCGTGTAAGAATAATCTATCACTCTCCATTACTGTCAAACATTAGCACTCTTACACTGCATCACAAGTCAGTGCGTTACTTGATGAGATTAAGAATACTTAAATCAAAATCCTAGACTGGCTCAGAAGGGACGCCCACGCTGCACAAGGCCCCAGGATGGAGCTACTTGCAGAGGGAGAATCCTCAGACAATAAGGAGCCTTTTTTACATGGAGGTTATTAATCATCATGTCTTGCCTTGGGGGGAGAAGTAGAGTGGCGAGGAGTCATCCGTCGTCGCAGCAGGAGCAGCAGCAGGAGCAGAAGAAGATGAAGAAGCAGAAGCAGCCTGGTTCCTCTTGATGCTTTTTTTCTCCTTCATCCACGGGTACTCCGGGGGTAGGGACACAGCCTGTAGCGGACTGAAGCCCTTCTGAGCCTGCTTGGAGCGGCTGTGGCGTGGGTGGACGCTCGGGTTCAGGCCGGGGATGGTCTGCTCAAAAGGAGGAGGAATCAGTGTCGACTGTGAAAGCGCTGAGCTCTTGATTGATGAACTTTGAAATGCATCACCGACAGGGTTAGTGAAAGATGTCAGGCACTCAGCGAGCGACGGCTGGCTGTTGATAAAACCACTTTCTCGCCCAAATTCGTAATTCATCTCCTCCTGCTTGTCTCGGAAAGCTCGCGGGTATTCAGAGGAGGGAAGAATTATAAAGATAAAATATATCTCTCTATATATAAATATATGTTTGCGAGGTTTCTTTTTGATAAACTACTTAACTGGTTATAGTCATAGGGAGACCTCTGCCATAAACTATTGCTTTCAGGAGGACATGGTCGGAATTAGACCGTGCTGCTTGTCACATGATTGCATCTGCCCAATGACAATTTGGGTTTTTTATCAAAAGAAGCCACTGTCCCCTATGATTGATCGAGAAAGTCTGAGAGGTAACGCCTCATTCCGGGGGTAGGGGTTGCTTTATTTACACATTTTTTCCCTCCTCTTCTCAGTTTGTCCACCACTGCCTAACCGCCCCCCCACTCCCACCTTACAGCACCCCGAAAATGCACCACAAAGCCGTGCACGTCTGCCACGGGAGCGCGCGCCCGTGCGAGCTTGCAGTTCACGAGTGTTTATGGGCATTTATTTCCAGCATGGCGCGCTGCAAATCATTGCAGCAGTCACATTTGTGCCTCATAATACCAAGACGCCCACAGTCGTTATCTCTGGCCGAGACGTTAATCTTGAGAGTTTCTTGAGGATTGACTAGAAAAGGAAAGGAAAGGAAAGGAAAGGAAAGGAAAGGAAAGGAAAGGAAAGGAAAGGAAAGGAAAGGAAAGGAAAGGAAAGGCAGCACCAGACACAGCAACATGTCCTCCCCTCCCCCCACCGCCCAAACTACAGAGAGAGACAAATTAATTTTCATATTTTAGTCTGATTTTGCATCGATTACATTTTAATCCCCAAATTATTTAACCTTTGATTGGCAGCGTTAGATTTAAAGTCTAAATAAAAATGTGATGTATAAATTATTTGAAGTGTGTTTGTGTGTCTGTGTCAAGGTAAGAAAGCATCTTGGTAATTTAACGTGCATTTGTCACCGTTTTACAGTTTATTGCTCCCTTCCCCTCGTCCAATTTCGTTCATTTTATATCACCTATTGGGATAATGTTGACCTTAGCCGGCATCCATACATTTCAGCATTATTGGTTATAACATGGGGGAGAGCAGAAATGATTTGCCACTGCACTGTGAAGCTTAGGAAAGGTGGGGATCTGATGGCTGTTTATTGCTCAGGCTCTAAACAAAGAGCCCTGGTAGCCCGTGCGTGATCAATCTTTCTCGCCAAAAGGTCTGACAGCTCCCTGCCCTAAGAACACATTTAAACCATCTAACACTCCCTTGGATCATATGTGGCCAGGAAGAGGACGACCTCTCTGTGAGCTGCAGGATGAGTTTTCAATTTAGAAAGGTCGGGATTTCTTTAAAAGCAGGGATGAGACGCATGGGCTTTGCGCACAAAGCTTTTTGCTCTGTTATTTGATAATAAACGATAAATCCAGACGTAACTCTGACCCCCTCACTTTTTTTGATCTCAGAAAGGACATTTCTGGCATAGAAAGAAAGAAGAGAAGACTTGACTGGGTGGATGGTATAGAAACGAAAACGGAGCTTCTTCTTCTTTTTTCTTTCTTTTTTTTTGTGCATAGGATCAATTGTTTGCTGAGGTGAGTGGGTGTTGGCATTCAGCAGAAATCCCATTCACTGCCATACCTATCTCTCTGGCAGGAACCATGTAGACAAAGTCTTTGTGTGGCCTGCTTTCTGGAATAATTCTGCTTTTACGCATAGAAGTGATTTTATATATCCTCATAGCGTAAAACGGTTTATTATTGTTTGTAAAAGTGCGTCCTGAATATGAGACATGAGATCTTGTAGTAGAATAAAATCATAAAATATACTTTAACATGTCTTTGCTAAAAGAAAACTAAATTAAACGTTGGTGACTTAGAAATAAATTTAAGAAGGTACAACACTTAAACGAATTCGACGTAATGGCGGTTAATTCTCTTTCTGAAAATAGCTGCCTAATAATACCTGTCTGAATAAATCACGTCATTCTGCCATTTATTTATTTATTTATCTTAATTTGCACATCATAATTTTAAAGCACTTAAAGACGCTGTTTACTTATTCTGACACATTTTTTGGAAACGAAAGAACAGAGCCCTGTACAAAATATAACCCCCAGCAATATTTGATCATATTATAAATACTGAGAGCTGAAAACGTGAATATATTTCAAATTTCGTACTGCTACAAAATTTGAATCGATGCTGTTATCCGTGTACAGATCTTTGACGACCTGAAGTCGTTTTTTTTTTTTAAATTTATTTTATTTTATGTTGCTTGTCCTGAACGGCAGACGAGAAGAGGATGATCCGTGGACGTGAACTGGAGTGGCACGTTTCCCATCTGTTCTGAAACAACGAGAGACATCTGGAAGGCAAGGGGGCGAAACACTAATGCGTTGTTTTAAAGGGGATATATTTCATTCAGCACATATTCTGTTTTCAGACAGATACCGTGATATTAAATGTATTAAAAAAATAGAAATTTTTAGTAGCTGGAAAATTACAGCGTGTCCATGTGCTTTTGTTTTGGATTTTATTTTATTATTTGTTTGTTTTTAAGCGTGAAAAATATATTTAATAATTATAATAATGGTATAATCATGTGTGTAAAATAAAGGTGATTTGGAATGGTGTAGAGGCCTGAGTGTTTGCTGCATCTTTTTGTCGTTTGCGCTGCATCATATCACAGCATGCTCTCCCTGCAAGAGGACACTTAAAACGAAATTGCATGGGTGCATTCAAGGCGCACAGTAGCTATAATACTCTGGAAAACACATTTAGGGTTGAGCCT